ACAAACTGGTCTGTCTTAGAATGACCAGAGTGCTCTGTAGAGACAAGGGTGGCGGGGCTTTGTCTTGTGTTCTTTGAACATGTAGGAGAGACCAATCCCTGCAGAAGAACATCATGTTTGGGAAAATGGAGGATCAGTGAAAGCAAGGAAGGCCCTCTAGGAGATGGACTGACACAGGGGCTGCAACTATGGGCTCAGGTATAGGGACAACTGTGAGGACGGAACAGAACAGCGCACAGGGTCCCTAAGGGTCAGAATCAACCAGCTTCATGACATCTAAGAACAACATGATCTTATACATAGAAAATCCCTAAGACTTGGCCAAGAAAATTGTTGGAATCAGCTGGATTCTTTTATCCTAACAGATCTGAAAAGGAAATCTGGAAAATGATAACAATAGCCACCCAAAAGATGAAATACTCAGGAATATATCTAACCCAAGAAACCAAAGACCTGCACAAAGAAAACTACCAAACATTTCTAAAGAAACCCAAAACCAGACTCATGCCATCGAGTCAATTTTGACTCGCTGTGGCCCTAGAGCAGAGTAGAGCTACCCCCACAGGTGTCTGAGACTTTGAAGTGGTAAGGGGAGCAGAGAGCCTCATCTCTGCCCCAGAGAGTGACTGGTGGGTTGAAACTGCTGGCCCCAGAACCTGGGCTCTTTCAAAGAAATCAAAATGAAGATGAACTAACATAATCCACAAAGAAAGTGTTGTACATCGTACATTGCTAAAAAGCAAACGAATCACTGAAGACTTGGAAGCTTGGGAGTTGTCACTTAAGCTATAACTCTTAGGGTCTCCCCATCTAGACCAAGAGCAAAGAAAATCAGAGACCCATGCAAACAGGAGCCTGATAATACAACTAGATGAATCTTGGCTATCACTGATAACCACTCATAGGAGGTTCTGGATAGAATGTGAAGAAAATGTGTAACAAACTCAAAATCCTAAGAGACCAGACTTACTGGTCTGATATTAACTGGTAGAGCCCCAAACACTGTGGCCCTTAGATACCTGACAGGCCCAGAACTAAGCTCACCACATGGCTCAACTTTACAGACAGATGAACCTTTAATGTGAGCAGTACCAAGTGCACACTCCTTAGAGCAATCAACCACACAAGACAAAATGGGCCGCCTTTGCCCAGGAATAAAGCTCAGAAGACCAGAAGCACAGAATTGGAAAGGGTAAACAATGTGAGGGCGTGGATTTTTCCCCTCCTAGCAATTTTTTCCCTGGTATGTCCAAAGGAAATTACAACATCCAGAATAAACAAGTTTGCCCACATGGGTAGCAACAAGAAGGCTCAAAAAAACAAACAAAAAAAGAGTGAGAAGGTTCAAGGGCAAACGTTTCTGAGAAAACACTACCCACTGGTTCTCCAGTTTGCTAACCGTAAGCCCAAAAGATGGCCTCCTCAGAAGCCTCCATTCCCAAGTGAACTTCCTACTACAAGTAGCAAGTCTAACCTGATATACACACTTAACCGCTTTTGCTCTGCAATAGTCTTGCATGGTCTTTGACCACAAAGGTCTTCCTTTATTGGAGTTTTGTCACTCTGCCTTCATTTCTGGCTCAGGCTTTTTCTCAGAGCACTCCTGGGGAACTGTGTCATGTTTTGCTTGCTACACAGAGGCAGACGCTCCCTTTAGTTCTGCATCTTCTGGAAACGTCCCTTATTTCCCACCAGACTGTGAGAGCTATAAAATTCCGATCACTGAACATACTGTGGAAGAGGCCCTGAGACCTGCTGTGCTTGTGACACGTGGCTGCCCGTTGGCAGCTCCCTGTGCCCACGACCCAATCCTTAAAAGTTGACCCAATACTAACCATGCACTTCTTGTGTGCCAGGCACATTGGTAAACAGTTTTCCTACTACAGTTCTCGAGGCAGGTGCTCTGAGCTGCCCCAAGAGACAACGATGAACTGATGATCCAGGAGCTACATCCAAGGCCAAGATCCCCCAATTCACTAATGAAAGAAACGCCATCAGTTCAACACCATCGGTCCCCATTGTTTAACAGCTTCTATTAGCAGAAGGGAAAGAATGGAACCCTCCTTCGAGAACTGACACCAAACCTATCGGTCTCAAGTCAGCTTCAATTCCTGCCCCCCCCTCCACAAGTAAGTTAGAGTAGACTTTTTCTCCACAGGGGTCTCAGCTGCTGTCTTTATGATCACCCGGCCTTTCTCAGAAGGTGCCTTTGGAGAGACTCAAACCTACAACACTGGAACATCTTTTATTTATTCCATGCAGGGGCACCTAGAATTTGCAGATTATTTTAAATGTCTTTATTCTTTAATCAACCCTCCTCTCACCTCTTTTGAAAACAGAGATATTGCCTCAGGACAGCATGTGGTGCTAGCTTGTTCAGCTTTGAAGAAAATGTACAGAGACATCTTGATACGAGGCCAAGATGGAGCCCCTCAGAAATGTGGTGAGCCATACCAGGTGAAGCTCTTCGTGGTCCATCTGAGCGGGACATTTGAGGTCATCTCTGGTCGCTTACACAAAAGAAAAGGGCATTTTATGCCCCCTGAGCTACTGCAGTCTCAGCTTAATACTTTGGAGCCCCCATCAGCTCCAGAAAACTTCATCCAAATCAGTGTGGACAGAACGCTTTCTGAAATCACTGCTACCATTCAGGAGATGCTAAAAGTGCAGTGAGGACCATTTCCTGTCAGTGGTCCGGGGCAGAATTAGGCTTAAATTGCTAACCCATCCCAAACCTTGTTCAAATCCCAGCCGAGTTAAGGTGTGCTCATTGGATACATTTGAAGGTCTTTGAGATACCCTTGACATCATGCCGAAGCGAGCTTTGAAAGGAAAGCTTAATCAGGAAAGTCTGAATCAGAGGAAATTCTGTAACCAATGCTAGGAATCACACCCTTGTTTAGTACATGCCTCTATTTGTACAAAGAAATGAGATTGTACCATCCTAGGTATCCCCGAAAACTGGCCTTGGGCGCAGAAGACCACATATGTATGATACCTAGCCCTCACCAACAAGTGACTGTACACCACTTACCTTTGTACAGGCATAATGCACTTTATTGTACTTTTTGGGGTGTTCATAAAGCAGTTTGTGGCAGCCCTGCATGGGGCAAGTCCCCACGGGCACCATTTCCCCAACAGTATGGGTGCACTTCATGTCTCTGGGCCACATTTTGATCATTCTCATAATTTTTCAATCTTGTTCATGGTGCTATCACACCCTCAATAGACAGTATAAACAGCTTTTAAATGCACTGGGCAACAAAGTTCATATGACTCCCTTTGTGTGACGTTCATATGACTCCCTTTGTGTGATTTGGCTTAGTGCAGTGGTCCTGAAACAAGCCCACGATACTTCAAAGGTATGCCTGTAGCCACTGTCCTTGAAAGTAGTTCACAGCAAAGACTCCAAAGACCTTTCTGGTAATTAAAAAAAAATTATTCCTGAGAGAATAAAATTGAAAATGTTTATGATTTTTTTTTTCTAAAAAGTAATTTCTGACGGAGGCTATGTTGCCAAAATCGGTCATTTAAGCAGTTACTCCCCTCAAATGTCTGTGAGTTTTGTGTGTCGGAGCCAGAGGGTACAGATCTGGGTTCTTCTCCCCGAGTGTGCAGCATGGCTGCTAGTGAAGAATGAACCAAACACCAGAGCGGCTGCTGTTTCTTCCTCGCTAGTTCATGGCGACCGAGTGCTGGAACGGCTCTTGAGAGCAGCTTTAACTTATATTAGTAAACCTGCCATCAGTCCATTTCGACTCACAGCAACCCTATAGGGCAGACGAGAACTGCCCCTGTGGGTTGCTGAGATGAAATCTCTACAGGACCAGTCAAGCCACTGCTTAACCCACAGTGCCACCATGGATTCTTTTTAGTTAGCAGTCATGTTTAAACCACTCACAGATGCAGGGTTCCACATGTCAGAGTGATTGCAGGCCCTACATTGAACAATGTCTAGGCACACGGAGAGGGACTATCCTCCCTTAGCTCTTCTCAGGGTGAAAGTGCTTAGCTGGTAACCAAGGCCAGTGGTTCAAAGCTACAAGCTGCCACTTGGAAGAAAGATGCCACCGGTTGGCTTCTATAAAGACTACGGCCTTAAGGAATGTTATGATCTATGTAAGAGCGCCCAGTAAAATCTGCCTGGGTCGCGCCTGTCTCTCCAGCACTGGCTGACAGTCCTTTCCCACACAGCAAGCAGGCCTCGGGCTCGGAGCCCTGACAGTCTCAGGGCAAGTCAGTCACTTTCTAGTCTTGGTTCCCTTTTCAGCTTCCTTCAATGTGTCCTACGTCGTTTTCCACTTAAAATGGTGACATTATCTTTACATATTTAAAGTGGATCCTATGAAGATAAAAGCACATATTGAGATATAAATACTGGCGGAGAGGAATGAAGGAGGCCTGCCTCGCTGATACATTCCACCTCCTTCATATTACAGAAGGGAACTGAGATTCAGCAAGACCTTGAGGCCAGGCTAGTGCTGACGCCCTCCTGTCCTATGAGACTATAACAGCCATCAGTTAACTCTCACTCACTAGCAAGGGACATTTAACCATTTTTGCCTTCAAACTTGGCCATCAAGTCGATTCCAACTCATAGTAAGCCCTAGGACACAGGGTAGAAACTGCATCTGTGGGTTTGTAAGACTAACTCTTTACAGGAATAGAAACCATGTTTTCAAACTGCTGACTGTGGATCGCAGCCCAGAGGGTAACCCACTACACTTCCAGGGCACCCATCTGTGCCATAGGCTCAGCTTTTCTATGGGAACAGCAAGCAGGAAACCCAAGGAACTTGTAAAGTTCCCCACCAGTCTACAGACTAGCATATGAACTAGGGACCCATCTCTGGTTCTGACAGCACCACAGCTGACTGATGAGCCCCCCAGGGTAGGGAGTCAGCAGGGTACAGTCTTAAGAGGCCATTTTGAGACCCCATTTATGGTTAAGCCCACACTGACAGCACTGGGGGTGGGAGGGGGTTTGGGTAGCTTAAGGATGGTGCCATTCAAGACTGGTTTGGTACTGACCAAACCAAAACCATATTGGGCAGGCCACAAAACGACATGAACCACCTTTGCAGTGTTTCTCTGGGCCGGCGACAGGGTGGGAGCCCCTGACTAGGAGAATGGCTATCACAGGGACTCCAGGTAGAGGGATAGAATGAAGTCCCTTTTCTAATTTCCATGGGCATCTCCCAGTGGCATCAGACCACAGGGAGTGAGCTTTTCTAAAACGGTCTGTCCAGAGCAAAGATGTCCACTTGATGCCATCTTAAAAAAGATGCCTTCTGTGGTGAAGTGAAACTGCTTGAATGTGGCTCTTCTATCCTTCTATCCACTGCACATGAGAAACCGCAACGGGGAGAGTCCAGAAACCATCAAGAAAGGACAGCCACCAGTAGGTCATGATCTCGAGGGAGATCCCTGCTTGAAGCGGCATTAGTAACACACACCACAGCACTTTGACCAGAGAGAGACCATGACCCTGAGGCCAAGCAGCAGGCATATGGAAGCAGAAGCCAGGGGACCATGTTGGCTGAGAGGCTGAGCAACAGAACTGCTGTGTCCTTGAATGTTTTCGGACTCTGGCTTGTTAACTTTTGGTCTGTGAGTTCTATGTGGCCAATGCAATGGATTATCTCACCCAGCAGACAGGTAAAGGAGGCTGGGGGTGGAGGCATGTCTGACCTCTGTCTTGTGGCAATCAACCTTGGGCTGGTATGGAGTCACTCTCCCACCTGCTGCAGCTCGAGGGCTTGGAATTGGAGTCGTTCTGGGAGATCATCTTTCAGCCACATTAACCGGCAGGCCTATAAAGTGAGCAGTAACGCCCAAGAGGAACATTTCTCAGAAAGGTCAACTACAGGAGACAAAAAGGGCAGCATTCCCTAAAAGCACAGTTGAAGACGGTAGGGAAGGGGCAGGAAAACTGCACAAACACAGGGGGAACCCAATGTGGAAAATGGGGGGCGCAATGACACCTTGTGGGGATTGAACCCAGTGTTACACAACAATATGTGTATAAATTGCTAGCTGGGAAAATAATTTTATTTTTAAACTTACACCTAAACTACAATAAAACATTCACATAGAAAGCCCAGGCCTTCCAACCTCAAAATCCCCATTCAGGATAATGGGAAGTGTCTTTTTTAGCTTAGTGGCAGGGGTGTAAAGTGAATACACAAATAACAAAACAGAAAATGCACACCAGATGTTCTCAAATCAATTCTGACTCATGGTGACTGATCCTCATGTGTGCCACAGTTAGAACTGTGCTACAACTCTTTTCAATAGCTGATCTGGATTCAAACCTCCCACCTTTCCACCAGGGACTCCTAGACATTCATGTAGGACAAATGAAAAGAGTCTGTTCATAATTAACCTGCACATAAAACCTAATTCTATTCAATACAGAAGTGAAATTCAGCAAATGTTATACACACAAAAATTTTCAAGAGTACAGTAACTTTTAGAAATAAAAGGACATCTGTATTCTATTTTTTATTCTATGTATTCTATTTATTTGAAACGTTGACGAGAGACGCGTAGTTTCGAAAAGCCATGGTCTTTCTGCCAGTACAACATTTCTGCCAATACAACACGTCTGACTGCCTCTGTAACTGTCCACTCACAGTACTCCATCTATGGACACAGCATCTAATGACAAACCGTTTTTTCTAGTATAGTGGCATCCAGCCATTACATATTGGAACACATGGGTTTCATAAATTACTCTCCTTCACGATCTCCTTTAGAGAGTTAAGGCATATTTTATAACATGCTTAGGTAAAGTTTTACTATAAACTTATTTCAAAGGAGTCTCTAGAAGTAGTAGTTGTTGGGCTGGAGAACCACTGCACTGGCCTTTGCAACAGAGACTGCAGAAGCTGGCAAGGGGAGGTGTAAGGCAGTACTGCCCTCTGGTGGCTCCGAGTGACCGCCTCACCTGCCAACGGTTAAGCATGCCAGCCAGCCATTTAGTCAGGGACAGTGGGATCCAGCTCCTCCCACTACACCCACTGGCCTCTTGGATTTGGGAAGGAGAGGCAGGCAAGTGTTTGAAGTGGCTCAAAATAGACTGCAACAAAAGGTTTTCCCTTACTGCAAACTTCACTGATGAAAGGAAGTCACAACTTTTGCTCCAAAATCACAGAAACTTTTTTTTCCCAGGGAAGAGCGCGAACGCAGTCCCCCACTACCACAAATTATGCAGTCGAGTTTCCCACATTTGGAGAAACAAACATAAGAGAAACAATTTTTTGTCAGTGTATCCTGTCTAGGCCTTTACACTTCTGACAGTAGGTAGTGTTTTCATCGCTGATCCTCTCCCAAAGAATTCTGAGTTCTTTGACTTAAGCCTATCAAAACAGTGGTGTTGGCAACCATTAAAAATGTTCTTTGAGTTTGGGGAACAAAGGAATCTGCAGGGGCACGCTCAGAAATGCAGGGTCAGTGGGCTAAGGCTGACCAACAGCTCCCACAGAACACTCCTTACTACCTTCAAAGAATGAAGAGGTCTATGGCTGTGATGGATAAAAATAACCTAGCCTTTTTTTCTCATAGCTCCTGTGATTGTCCCATGTCCTTAAAAAAAAAAAAAAAATTCAAAATCACCCTATTGGAATTTAAAAAAAAAATAAAGTCACCCAAACTTCCAGTGCCTTGCATTTACCTGGTCCAGCCGGTCCCCTCGGAAGCCATTTTTTTTATTGGACCCTTTTTCGAAGGCCCTCTTTTTGGAATTACATTGCTGAGAGAACTTGTCTGCAGCATCCATTGATAGCCGAGACATGCTTAAACCAT